GCTCTTGGGCATAGGTGATTCTCTTGCCTCAGCCTCCCGAGTAGCTGGGACTACAGGCACCCGCCACAACGCCTGGCTATTTTTTTGTTGCAGTTTGGCCAGGGCTGGGTTTAAACCCACCACCCTCAGTATATGGGGCCGGCACCCTACTCAATGAGCCACAGACACCACACAGGTGGACCATTTTTGTTTTTTTAATTTTGGGGAAAGTTTTTGGCCAGGGCTGGGTTTGAACCTGCCACCTCCAACATATGGGGCCGATGCCCTACTTCTTTGAGCTACAGGCACTGCCCTATTTATTTTTAAATTTTTTGAGACAGAGACTCAAGCTGTTACCCTGAGTAGAATGTGTGGTGTCCTAGCTCACAGCAACCTCCAATTCTTGGGCTCAAGCTCTTGCCTTGGTTTTTCTATTTTTAGTAGAGACAGGGTTTCCTTTTTGTTCAGGCTGGTCTCGAACTCACGAATTCAAGCAATCTACCAGCCTCGCCCTCCAAGAGTCTTAGGATTACAGGTATGAGCCACTGCACCTGGCCAGGTGGACCATTTTTTAAAATATTTTACCCTGTATTTTTACTGTACCTTTTCTATGTTTACTTATTTAAATTAATTATTGTTAAGTTTTAATTTTAATTTTAATTTTTTTTATTGTTGTTGTAGCTGCAATTGTCATTGTTGTTTAGCTGGCCCAGGCTGGGTTCAAACCTGCCAGCCTGGGTGTATATGGCTGGTGCCCCACCCACTAATTTACAGGCACTGCCCTTTTTCTATGCTTAGATACACAAGTACTTGACATTATATTATAATTGCCTATAGTGTTCATTACAGTAACATGCCGTATAGATCTATAGCTTAGGAGTAATAGGGTATACTATGGAGGTTTGTGAAAACACACTCTATGATGTTTGCACAAGGAATAAATTGTCTCAGGACACACTTCTCAGAACCTCTCCTTGTCATTAAGTGGTGCATGACTATACTTCAAACTAAAGGGCTTTCTATTTCTTTTTCTTTCTTTCTTTTTTTTTCTTTTTTACTAGAAGGGCTTTCTATTTCTTTCCCATAAAATTAATACCAACTAAATAGTGGAAGAAGGCTTGGCATCTGTGGCTCAAGTGGCTAAGGCACCAGCCACATACATCTAAGGTGGTGGGTTCGAATCCAGCCTGGGCCCGCCAAACAACAATGACGGCT